ATACTTAAAATAAAGCAAAGAAAAAAGATGAAGTACGTTGTCGGTATTTTAGATTCGTTCGATGATTCCATGTTTATATCATGCGATTGAAGCAATATCTATGGTGGATTTCATTGTTTGTCTTGCCACATATGCTATGAAAGTTCCATCAGGTAGTATTTCCGGTCAAAAAAATTTCATTTCTTAATATATGACCTTAAATATAAGGTGGTCTGATCAATGAAATTTGGAATTTCGTTTTTTCCATCCAGTTCGACCCTCATTTTCTCCTTCAATGTCTATGATTATCAAGCAAGGAAGACATCCACTTTTGGATTTGGCAAACGAAAATTTTACTCCAAATGATGTGGTAGGTTTTCTTATGCATAGCGTTCAAGAAACTGTAACGAAAACATTGTATAGCTTCAGTTTTCTTTTTTTTTGAAAGTTGCAACTTTGCTGAGTGTCTTTCTGGTACATTAAATACAATTTAGATATATATATATATATATATATATGCATATTGTACAGAGAAACATAATTTTTTTCATGAAATGGTGATAAGAAACATAATTGTTTTCATGAAATGGTGATATATATTGCTGTTGGGAATATGACACAGAAATATATCAGTTACCTTCCATTCGATAATTAATAAATGTTTCTCAAAAAATATCAAGAAATTAATGAGCTGTAAAATTAAGGGGTTTTGTTGCATCACTAGAAGTTTTTTTATCTAGAATCAATGTATTCCAAAACTGTAGCAAGTTCTGGATTTGCAATGATTAGAAGTTCTTTTCTAATTAAAAATTAGAAGTCTTAATCACTCGATTTTAACTAATTAAGTTTTGAAGTTTCAGTATTTGTCATCCGAATCACGAATCAATATTATTACGGGACCAAATATGGTAAATTACTTATTAAAAATGTTAAAGCTTCATGAACACCAGTAATTTCGACCACTGAACGCTTTATAAAAATTACATATGCATTAAATCATTAATGAAAAATAAGCCTCGAGAGTTGTTTAGATGAAAAAAAACAAACTGTCGATAAACATGGACTTACGTTATAATAGTTTTATTTTGCACTTCCTAGGCTGGAAAATCAACATATTTGAAGCAAATTTGCTTGCTGCATGTATTAGCCCAAACAGGGAGTTTCGTACCGGCAGAGTTGGCTGTATTTCCAGTTCTCACCCGGATTTTTTCGCGAATTGGACATAATGATGACTTGACAGATAATTTGTCTGCTTTTGCTGTTGAGGTAAGTGATTGAGGGTAGAGAGAAATTTGATTTTACGATCCTAACTTATCGCAATAATAACATCTAATCGCGTCATGTTTTATTTCTATTTGAGATAGAGAAGAAAACTGGTATTAATGATAGCGTGGTTGAATTTTTCATGGTTTTTTTCTTTTTTTTAGATGTCGGAAATGGTGCCCATTTTACGTACTGCTGACTCTTTATCATTAGTTCTTATCGATGAACTTGCGTGTAGTAAGTGTCTCTCAGTCTGATTTCAATTTTTTAAAACTTGCAAATGCTAACTATCCTCCGAGGAATAGGTAAAACGATGAAATAATTCTTTGTTCATCGAATATCTATGAATACAGTGATGTGACAATTCCTTGTTTTTCGTTTCAAATTGAAACTAACAATCAATTACTGTTAATCAGAATTTTTCAGGCACAGCGTATGATGAAGGTTTGAGCATATGCTTTGCTATATGTGAAGAGCTTTTGCGAAGGAAGGTTAAGTCCTCAGTTATTTTTCCAATTTAAATAAATTCTCACAAAACGCAAAATTTTTATACTACCGGCAACCCAAGCATCCGGTCAATTAAAAGGAATGATAGAAATGAATGATACGATTCTGTGATTTATGCCTACTTCAATTTCATCCAACATTTACTTTCAATAGAGGCATGCAGTTAGAGTAATTCGCTTTTTATGATATAGCAATTGTTTCACCGATGATTTACGTTAATAGATTTTTTAGAATATTTAAATTGTAGGCATATGTCGTATTCGCTACCCATTATCTCGATTTGGCGTCACTAGCAACAATGTATCCTGCTGTTGAAAAGTTATTTTTCCTTCAATTTTCTTTGTATTCAGTTTAATCTCTTTTATAATAATGAAGACAATTTCTCAAAAATCGATAACCAAATAAGGCCATATCAAACATAGTGTGCTTAAAGCAATAACAATACTAAGCTCTTCAAATTTAAAGTCTGATTGATTGCTAAGGATATTGTTATATTGGAACTCGTATCACTCAGTGTAATATGTCCTGCAGTGTTATTTGGCAACATCCTTTTAAACCTAAGTAGTTAAATTAACAAAACTGAATGAGTTTTTTAATTTGAATCATCAAAGCAATTTATTACAGGCCTCTCACATTTTGGTTGTGTTAGGTGATCGGTTGAGTTTTAGTCTAGTCGTAGCCTTTAGCATATTTTATCTTTAGCTTCCATTTTTCAACTACCACAGTGAAAATCAAGCAGGACGATGGAAGCGAAGTGGAAAAATTCCAATGTTCGCATCAACTTTTTACCGGTCCATACAATGGTCCACTTTATGGTATGTACATGTATCATAAATAATAATTCTCTTATTGGTTCATTCATTTTACCTCATTTCAAAGATCCTCTTTCGGCAGTAAAGTTGCATATTTGGTACAGTTCCTCTCTACTTTTTTTAATAATTCGCTATTGATTCATATAAATTAACGTCTGCAACTATATCAATTCAACATTGTCACCTTCCCATCTATTACCAGAATCATGCGGGCTATCCGATTTTCTAGTTTGATCTGTTTTCTATCTGTAAGTAAGGTGATGGCATCCATATGCAAATTCTAGTGAGACTTTAATACCAGTAAGAAACGTTTCAATTTCTGTGATAAGTTTCACTGATAAGACTTGCTGCACTTACGCTAATTTAACTACTGGTTGAAATGTGATTTAGATGAAAGTAGTGTCAAAAGTGTTGTTACCGTGTATTTTCTTCAGCATTCAATTTGGCTGATCTGACTACTTTTCCAAGAGAAGTACTAGATGAGGCATACGCATTAGCCATATCATTACGTTCACAACGTAATTTGATGCTCGAAATGGATGATGAAACGCGCCAACGTCGTGCTATCATTCGATATGCATGCAAGTTACGTTCAATGCTGCCAGTTTTAACAAAAACGGACACAGACGCTGCTGCTATTTATCTTTCAAAATTGCGCGATCAACTCTTCCATGAATTTTTACCATTGACAAGTGATCAGTAGCTTTAAATTTTTCTAACATAGAATATCGACATTTTCTTCCACGTAATCTATCATATTGCATTTTTTACATGCAAAAACTGCAGAGCTCGGTTATACTTCCCATCTGTCAGACTTCATATTATTTAGATTTCTTGTCCTCACTAATGGATCATATTTTTGAATTTTGAGAGTGACGAAGTTGTAAAGAGAACATGTAAAAAAACTATGTTAGTGAGTATTAACGTAATAGCATTGCTGAAAATAGTACTTAAAGATAGAATGATGGAATTGTTATAACATCCTCAATTTTTTTGCTTTTATTCTCTGTTGAGTTTATTGAATTTCTATTTTATGTGATTTTGATTTATTCCCTGTAAAATTATACTTTGTATTATAAGTGAAATCAAGGATTAATTCTGGAGATTTCTTCACGTCGAATATACAACATTTAAAACCTGACACTTGAATGTTTGAAATAAATTTTTGTTCCTGAAGATCATTCCAACATTTTGATAATCCGATGCGGTGCATCTCCAAATAATGACTTAAACTAACTGTACAGGGCCTTCTTTTTATCACAAATTGGTAGATCAGCAACATATCGAAATACCATTGGTTTGTCCTACTCCTATGCTATTTTTCCCGATTTCGATTACAGAACTTCGCTATCATCATCAAGGACTCAAAGAAGACATCAAAGAGTTTAAACATATTCATTCCTTCAAATCGCTAGTCAATCTAGTCAAAACGTCGCGTCGCTCCCGGGTGGGCTTGAACCACCAACCTTTCGGTTAACAGCCGAACGCGCTAACCGATTGCGCCACGGAAGCACCCACTAGGCAAAGGGAAAAGATCACCGAAAAAGTGGATTTAATTAAATGGTAAAGAATTCTAAACTGTCATTTGTAAAAACAAGTTTAAAATCTTCCGCTCTAAACTCCGCTAAGAAGTTTAATAAACAATTTCACCATTGAGAAAGTTTGCAAATGTAGAAAGAGGGAAGAGAGAAAGGAAGATAGGAAGCTGTAGGAACTAAGTTGGCACTTTCGAGACGAATTCTTGCGGATGTCTTTAGGGGTTTTAGTGTTTTTTGGTGTCTGGGATTTGCTTGCTTGGTACGGGAGTGGGTGGATTAATGATTTATTTGGTGGGGTTAAAGGTTATTAAGTTATTAGTTGTGTGGTATTATTGCAGTATGCATCGCGGTGTAGAAATTCTTGGAATAAAGTTAAAAAAAGATGAAATTCGAGGTTTCTGATTGTAATCCTGAAATTTTTTTTGGTATTTAATTTTTATCATATTCCTGAATTTGAAAAGCGTGGTTTGTGTGCAAAACGAAATTCCGAGTTAAAATTTCGTGTATAAAACCGAATTTTGGATGAGATTTACAATCATACTTCTTTATTTGAAATGTTTCATTTATATGTAAGACGAACTCTGGATTATACTTTGTTCTTATTCCTGAATTTTAAATGCAATATTGTATGCATGTTTTCAAAAAATGAGATTCCAGATTGCATCTTTGACCATATCTTTGAAAGTTTATGGATTTAAAATGCTTAATTTGCAAGTATGTTTTCGAAGGATATGCATCGTAACTGCTTGGTACTGTTGAGACAAAAGATGTGCATCATGATTGTATGGTATCGGTTGTGTTGTTCAATTATTTTTACGTTTACAGAAGCTAGTAGTTATCCAGTGGTTTCCTTTTCGACGAAATAAAATAGAAACGGAAATAAATTCAAATTTGATGGATAATGAATTTTAACTGGGCTAATGAATTAGCGAAAAATGCTCTGAAGACGGCTCAGAAACGTATCGATTCTGTACTTGACATTGCACCGGAAGATGAAGTTGGTTTTTTTGAATTTTTGTCAGTATTATAATATTATATATATTTACTTAATTAATTTATTTTTCCATTTACGGGGAAAAAATATAACCAAACTTAAAAGTCATGACCAAACAATAGCAGAAGTCATCAGATTGAAAAAAAAAATATTATAACGAAAAAATTATGCTAATTTTATTAAACAGTGGCTTGATTTCCTTTTTGGTTTCAGAAAGTTTTTTATTGATACAACCATTTTTTTTAGAAAATTGAAATCAAATTCTGGTGAAGGAAAATTAAACAAATCTGTAGCCACAGTTTGTTATGTGAAAGTGACTTGTTAAGACTAGTGCATAGATTTTGAAACCTTCCCAGAGCTCAAATATTTGAGCTTTAAAACATCATATGAGTTTTCTTTATTAGGTTTATAACTGTTCTCGTTAATACGCCAGAAAATAAGATGCTGGGAAGGAATGCAGGAATGCTCCCAGTAGTCGTAATTAAAATTTCTCACTTATCATAAGTGGAGATTCAGTGATCCTTGCTAATTAAGAAATGATACTGTAAAATTTGATAGATGGTTAATTATAATAGGTTCAACCAGAGATCTTTTTTGCAGGATATCATTTTTGAAGTATTAATAGTAATACTTAAGTAATGTCAAGTATTATTCAGTATACTATTAAGAATTAAGCATTCATTATTAAATATTGTCCATGGAAATGGATTAAATTTGAATTTCAACTCATCATTTGTTTTTTTATTATAAAATTTACTCGATTTTTTTGGTAAATTTTTAGAGTTGTTTCTGATCATTTTATTAGTGCTATTTAAAGGAATATTGATGTTTAGATAGAAAACGATGAGAGCGTAAATAGTATAGTAATATCACCTTTGGAACACGAGAAACAATCAGAACACCATGAGGATTGGGATGAAGCAAACTCTTCATTCACTTCCGCATACGATGGAACTTCAGTATTCCTTATATATCTTCATTTTATTCTTATATATACACTACAGTATATCATTAGTTTGACAGTTTATTATAATTTTAATGTTGTGAATTTCACAGTTTCTCATATGAATTTGACATGAATGGAAAAACTTGTTTGAAAACAACTATATTAAAAGCATAGAAATGGATTTATGTCAATTTTGGAGGATCAGAATGGTGTCCACAGTGTTGAGGAAGGCAAGAATATGAATTCAGCAGAATGGACATCTCAATGGGTTCAGCAAGTCAGTTAAATGCGGTTTATTGAATTGATTGAAGTCAACAGGGATTTATGATATTAGAAGTTGTATACCCTTACTTTTAGGGCGTTGAAGTGGTTGATTCGGAACCTAATCCTATTCGTGACAGTCACCATGCTGGGCTGTTACCGCATTCACCATGTTCGGTAAGAGTGTATGAAATAGTTGTGGGAGTGGGTATTTTGCAAAGTTTCGGGGTTTTTACCTCTCATTTCAAAAAAAGATTTTGAGGTAGTAGGTGTCTTTAAAATTTCATTCTGATTTTATTACGTGCGAGGCTGTCCGAGAATTTTGACAGTGGTTATTTAAAAATCGATAATTGTTTAGATTGAGTCGTCGAAACTAAAAGGACTAATTTAAACAAAATTGGTTTAACATGAATAATTTTCCCTGAATCTTTGGTATTTACTAAAGAATATACTGGCGATATTATGATTTCGAAGTTACCATCAGTATTTATGATTTTTTGCAGAATTCTCCTGAAGAAGAATTGGTGTGCAGTGGGGAAGAGCAGGATAGCACGCGTCCAAATGATACCCAGAAACATAAGGATTCAGAGCTTCTAGAGGTAGCTAAACTCAAAGTTATCATTGTTACTGGGTTTTTATACCCATAATTTTATCTTAAAAATTTTTTAAAGAAAAGATCTAACTAAAATTGCTATTTGCTGCAATGAGGTCAGAAATTCGAACTGTCAAAAGAATGGTTGGCTGAGCGAAATAATAGGACTGACCATCTATTCGGTTTCTTCCCTCTAACTTGCTATTGCGTCCTTGGTCACCATACTGAATATACATGACATCAATATATTACTATAATGAGAAAATCTTATATTTCTGAACAATGATTTTGATTATGTTATTTAATTTTTTGGTTCATAGGTCATTGCTGTTATAGCCAAGTGTTTAGGTGGATAGCAAGCATTTTGCTGTGGAAAATTCATCGTATAGGAATGATAAGAATCATGATGATACTTTAACACTTATATCAAGTGATTTCGAGATACTTCGCCAAAGCGATTCTTGGTACATATTTTCGTTTTTCATAAAATTTTCGGCTCAGAATTGTTAGATTATTCAGATTACAGCATGTTCGACAAGAACTGATTTAAATTTTTTTTTAATGAATGAGATTATAGCTCATTGGCAAGCAGTGCACCGCCGAAGACTCTTCCCTTTTCATCGCCGGATGCGTCAACAATGGAAGCTCACCAACAGGTAACCATGTTAATGTGTTTTTGTCGAGTCATTTTTGAGTGTTTTTCAATAAATACTGCGATGCCAATGAATGTGCAATAACTGCAAATAATATTTTTATTGGCTTTCCGAGGAAACTTTACGGTATTAGTTATCGAGCTATCCCGTCGAAACAGTCTCTGATTGACATACTCAGTGTTGATTTTTGCTAACAAAAATAGATATAATTTGGATGTCTCGGAATTTTCAACACCGTGTCATATACATTTCAGATGATGAATTCTGTCACTAATCTAGACCAGAGGTGTCGAATGAGTAATAAAAATATATATCTCATAGTATCTCATACAGTATCTTTTAGCAGGAATCATGTAAAAAGGTGGAGTCACTGTAAGTCCTGTTTGAAAAATATAGGTATGGTTGCAAGTAATAGTTTTTTCTTTTTAAAGATATAAATTCAATACTTTTTTATAGGCAAAAGAGGAATGCAATAGTAAATTGGTTAATTTGATCAGCAAGCAGTACACCAATGCTGAAACTGCTCATTTGAGGACACAAATTCAGTGTCAAGAAAGGCGAATTCGTGATCTACAATTCCAGAATCAGAGGTTAGAAGCAAAATCCAAGGAATTGCTTGCCCTAAAAGCGATGCGAACACAGCAAAGGTATTTTCGAATTTCTTATTATTCTTTAAAAAGATTTTTATTTTTAAATATTCTTATCGGTGAAAGTATTTTTCAGCACAACCGAAGCAAAACTCCTGAGGAAATTAAACGAGAAAGAAACAAAATTAGCAGATCTTTTGCTGGAAGGTAAATTTTCTATCGACTATTACTAAAGACAGTTTTATTTCTGGAGTATTAATTGGAATTCATTTTCTTAGGTTTTGACTTGACTTTAATGAACGAAAATTCAGGTGAAAAGTTAGCTGAAACGAATGGAAAATTGACGAAGGAGCTAAAAAGACTTAGAGCCAGCCTTGCTGAACAAGAACAATTAACGAAAAAGGGCACCGAGGCTGAAACTGATCGAGATCTAGCTCTTGAAGAAGCGAGAAGTCTTGCAGCAGAGGTTACGAAATTACGAAGTAAGTTCCACTTACTTTTCTTTATTTTTTTGATAGAACTACCTTTTTTTGATAGGAAGGTAGTTTTTCAGCGACGGTGAAATCTCTCGAAGGGGATTTAACGGAATCAAAAGTAGTGAATGAAGGTTTAACAACTGATTTGAAGAGAAAGGACGATAAGATTAGTAAGCTACTGGCAGATGTTCAGCAGTCAGAAACAAGTCGGGAATTAGCCCACGAAGAATTGAAGGTATCATTAATTTTTGAACGTTCTGAATTTTCTGGTTTATTCAGGCTTCAGTTTATTAATAGTGGTTCGTCTGTTGAATGATACATTCGTGGTTTTAGATACTAAAAAATATCGTTGCTAGTACACATGACTTATTAAAACGTGAAATGAAATTCGATGTTTCATTATTTCTTTGATTAAACAGCATCTTTTTCTGGATGTTAAGCCTTTGATAAAAGAATGTAAAGATTCTTGATTTATATGTAGAGTATTTATTCCAGATTGTCCTGTAATTTGTTTGTAGATAGTCTTCAAGATTTGAGAGGTGGAATAATTAGAGTTATTATCTTTCCATTTTATTTCAGCGATTGGAAACTGCCTTTGAAGAAGTTTCAATGAAAATAAAGCAAAAAGAAATGTCATCAAAGAGTATCGAAGAGATCACTCGAGGTGGATCATCGCTTTTTTTGTTTTTTTAGACATTTTTTTACAGTTATTGTTTGTATAAAAATTTAATATAATGTAGATTAATAATAGTAGCACACTTGCCCCAAAAACTCTAATGTCACAATGCAGCGGGAGGATTGAAGTGTTAGCTTTTTACCGATTTTATTAGCTTATTGCGTCATTTGGTGTGAATTGGTAATATCCGACATCTTCATAGTTTTTTTGAAACTTCTGAAAATAATTCCCGTTACTCAATATTAGCTGTTACATTAAAGCGATGAATCGGAGAAATTAGCTTTTGGGATGGGCATATCAAATTTTTGAAATTTGAAAGCTTTATTACAGGATTAAATACAGATCTCGAAGAAGAGAAAAAGAAAAATGAACGACAATCAGCTTATATAGATTCGCTGGAAAAGGTTCATATCTTAATGCATACAGTTTGTAATTTTTACTATACACTTATTGAACGACACAAATTTATTTAGTACGATTACCAGTTTTCTGCATTACCGTAACATGAACGAAATGAGAACGGGCTGTGCTGGGAAAGTGTTTATTCTTTCCAGGATAGTATTTCCTTTTTCCATAATTTTTTTTCTCGTTCCCATAATTCTGATAGCAAGAATAATGCTGGTAATCCTTGTATTTATTATTTTTGTTTCAGAGACTAAGTGAAATGATGGAAGAACATCAGAATAATGCTGAAATTATTGCTGTTGGTAAGTTTTGCTCATTCATCAAACATCTGCTTCAAAATCAATATCTAATTGCTTGTTTTACAGTATTTTAAATCTATTGATGGTAGTTTCTAATTTAGTTAGTGCTCCATTGCTGGAATCGATACAACATTTAGAAGAAAAAGTTGCGGCAAAGGATAAGGAATACGAACAAATTGTATGCGAAAAGGAAACAACTATAAGTGCATTGAACTCGGAAAAAGGTATTTATTTAGGGATCTGCAGAGTATTCGTTTGCAACATTTATAATCACAAGTGAACAAAGCACTGTTGTAATTTCTTTGGAAGAGCTTATCTTTCTAAACCAAAAAGTTTCAGATTTTTATTTAGTTCGACTGTTAGTCTGGTTATATAATATTCAGTATGCTTTCTGGGCATTCAACACTTGCCTTTTTTCTGAACATTCACGAACTCTCTGGGCATTACTCTGCTTATTTGACATTATTCAGTCGATATTTTATACACATGCATTATTAAATATCGAAGTTGAAGAAAAAAGGAAAAATTGCTGTAGATTCTGTATTTCATTACATACAACTTTATTATTTGTAAAGTATTTCTAGTGCTTGTAAGCAGTGATCATCCTGTATGCAAAAAATTATTTGTCCAAAAATTTCCAAATTTTGATGTTTGTTGAATTATAAATGTAATTCGTCAGCATGAAGCAAATGATTATTAACAAACATATATTGTAGAAATGCATCTGTACGCGAAATCAGATTTAGAAAAACTGTTTAGTTGTTGTTAATGCAAAGTGTATCTGTTATTATAAACTGCTTTCGTTTTTTTTTTCAGGACAGCTTTTACTTGAAAATGAAGAAGCAAGGAGGGAAAATGAAAAGGTTAGAGTTTTCTAATTTTTGAGAGTGATAATATGAAGTGTTGTTATGCTCAGTGCTTTTAGTAAACCACATCAGTAATTGCTATTTTTATTTGGTTTATATCATCATCAAGTAATAAATTAATAAGCAAGAATAACCAGCTAGTAGAAAATAGCATGAAAAAGGAGTAGAACAACTTTACCGGATCAGAAAGAGAGGAAGAAGAGAGAGAATGCTAGGGAGGAAGAGAAAAGGAAAGGGTGGAGCAATATTGGATTAAAGGATGGATCGGGTGGAAGGGAAGGTTGTAAGAAGCGACTGAAAGTTTCAGTGGTATGAGTGCCAGTAGTACTGCTCACCTTGTTCTTACATGAATTCTTAAGTTTGAAACTATGAATATTTCAATGTTCTGGTGACAGTGATTTACTATTCTACATTTCTTGATGGGAATGGCTTAGTGTGCATTTTGCTATTGCGATATAGTGTACGTCGTAGCTTATCGAAATGTGAACTTCACCATTCACTAAACTTATGAATTATATTGTTAAGCCGAGCGGGAATGTGATGAGGGCGTCTCTTGGTTCGTTCATTATTTTATGATTTTGAGGTATGTAATCAGAGTTGTTTTGCAAATGTGAACCTGGAGACGCCGAGGCATTTTGATCATTGTAAACAATTTTCTAGTAAGTGCTCATGCCGAAGCGTCTCTAATTTCACTATTTGCAGGACGACAAGCATATTAATGCTGAAGATATGGCATGTCATTCTGGTACTATCAATGATTCGGAACAGTTAACAAGTAAAGAGAAATTGAAAGAAATGAAAACACGATCAGACTTCATATTTTTAAATGAAGTGGGTGAAGGATCATTTTCTACGGTATATCATGTCAAGGAAAAAAGTACAGGAAGAGAATTGGCAGCGAAAGTGTGCTTCAAAAAGCAAATAATTCGTGAAAAGAAAATCGATTATATTTTTCGGGAGAAGGAAGCCTTGATACGATTAACGAATAATGGTGAAAAGCATCCATTTCTGGCGCAAATTATGTGTACATTTCAAGATACTGAAAATCTTTATATTGTGATGACATTGGCTAAAAAAGGTGATTTGTTGAAATTAATGCGGAAATCAGGCGGAAAATTTAATTTGAACTTAACACGATTTTATACCAGTGAAATTGTCGTAGCACTGGAGCATATGCATTCACTGAAAATAATTCATCGCGATTTGAAACCGGAAAATATTCTAATCTCAGAGACAGGTCATATTCTTGTTTCTGATTTTGGTTCTGCGAAGATTCTTGATCGTGTAAAACCAAATAAACAAGCTGTTAGACCAGAAACTCTGAAGCGACGAAGTTCTTTTGTTGGTACAGCACAATTCGTTAGTCCGGAAGTGCTAAAGGGTGAACCAGTACAACAGGCTTGTGATTATTGGGCTTTGGGCGCTATCATATATCAGCTGCTTACTGGTAAGCATGCATTCCATGATATATGTGAATATCTCATTTATCGACGAATTATGGACGGTGTTTATAAAATTCCGGACGATTTTCCAGAAGTTGCAGCAAGTATTGTGAGGAAATTACTGGTTGTAAAAGTGGAGGATCGTTTGGGCTCCATCGAGTCTGGTGGAGCTGGAGCTGTGAAGAAAGAATCGTTCTTCGATGGTATACAATGGGAGTCAATTACAAAAACAGAAGTACCGCAACTGCCATTTGGTTCTGAAGAATATTAAGAATATAATTTAGAGGGTAATAGCAGTTATCATATTCTATGATTCCTGTATAGTGTTAAAAATATATTAATCATGAAAAGAAGAATATGTTTCTATCTTTGCATATATCATAATTTGTGACTTAAATCTTATTAAATACTCTCTTCTGACCAAACCTCTTAAGTCTTTCCTTTCTCTTTTTTCTGTGATATTATAAATTTTAGCTTTTTCATAGCATCAAACATGTGATATACAGTCATTATTCGTAGAAAAGTGGATTTTAAATGTTTAAAAAAAAAATACTTAGGAATATACCTTAGAAAATACTCCTTACTAGGAATATATTTATATATTATTTAAAATTTGTTTACGTCTTCTCGTTTATAGGATTTTCGATTCTATAGCTGATAGATGAATGGTGAAGGAATCACTTATTTTATCTATTAATAATCTGCTTAAAAACATCGTGTTTTAACTTACAATGTGTTATTGTCTTCCTAGTCACACTGATTGTATAATTAAATGTTTAGGGATATTTTCAATTTATATTTGTCGATGTTTAATCCTTTTCTAGCTGTTTTTCTTTTCTATTCGGTTTTTTCTTCATTGTGTGTGCGTGTGTGTAAATAATAATGTGAAGAGAAGAGATGTGAAGGGTTGTATTTAGAATATATGAGAATAAACAGTGAATACTGCTAGTGAGTGGTTAACATTGTACTGCAAATGTTCTTAGAAGAAGAAGGAGATGAACGTTCAAATCCATTTTGCTTCATTTCTGCTGTGAGATTTTCAAGAGATTTAACGAAAATACATCATTTATTGATTCATTTGAAAAGATTTTTTTCACGGCATTCTTTTGGGAAGTTTTGATTTCTTGGTTTGAATTCGCTTCATACGGATGTCAATAGCTTTATTGAAATTGACAAGAGGTGCTTGATGCACTTGTAAATGTAATAATTTGATAAGAATTAAACATCAGAACTCAATAATGTGTTATTTGAAATGTTATTGATTTGATTTTTTCACGTGCCTAGTGATTGGTTTAAGCCACTAGGTATTCAAAAAAATGACAAAAAACCTTTACAAGATTAGAACTGGATTCAAACAAGTTACTGCCAAGAGTAGAAGAATTGACAAAAACACTATGTATTATTTCCTATATAGCATAACTATTATTTCCTTTACACAAAGAATATCCCTGGAAAAAAGTGAGATGACAAATTTTTGCTTATTTAATTAAAACATTTTTTCCTTGTTTCTAGCTTCGAGAACATATGCAGAGAGACTTGGTTACAATAGAAAGACTTAATGAACATGTTCGACGGATAGAGCAGCAGAATTCGATGTTAGTTCAATTTTATAGAAACAGCTAAAGCATTTTTTGATTTTGAATTATTTTCAATAGTTGTATTAAGTAGAGAAATTAATGGCTGTAGTATCTATTAAACATAAAATACTTCAACATTTGTTATGGTCTCCTCCTCCTTTCGATTTTATCATTAGCTGATATTAAAGTACTTCAACTGTCATAAGTTTTTTATTTTTTTTTTGTAAACTAATTTAGAAAAATTAGAATTTTTGTAAATTAATTTAGACAAAGGAGCAAATTTGCATCATAATGATAGAAAAAGCCTTTTCAAGATTGGAAATGAATTCAAGCAAGTTACTGCAGAGAATAGAAGAATTGACAAAAACACTAAGTGAAAAAGAAGATGAAATTGGAACAATTTATGTACAGTTGAACAATGAAGCAAATGCGTTCGAAAAACGTATTATGGAAAAAGTATTACACTTTATTATTTTTTGAATAACAATAGATTTGAAGAATTTGAGAAAGTTTCTAAAATTATATTTGGTTAGAAATGAATCCGGTAATGTTTTACCGGATTCAGTTTTTTCCAATTTATTTTGTTCTTGTTAAATTATCCAGAAATGTAAAGCTATCATACCATATCTATGAGAATTTTATTTGATGAATTATAAAAAGTAATGAATTAAAATTTTAAGTTATCATTTCAGTTGTTTCAAGTAAGAGAGGAAAAAAAAATCTTTTGGGAAATTTTAGCAATGTGAAGTAGATGACGCTAGGAAATATTGCGAAGTTCTGGAAAAAGAATTGCATAAGTCGAATATACAAAGCCCTGAAAGTTTAATGGAGCAAGAAAGGGTACAAGACTATCTGCCGGATGGGGGTTCTTTTATGCTTAGTGTACCAAATTATGCCGTTCAGGTGATTTCTTATGTTATTGTTAAAATAATTTTCTGCATTAATAGTCAACAGTCGTTTGAAAAAAGATATAATCTGCGGCGTTGGAGTTTTCATTTAATAGATATAATCGAATATCTTCAAGAAGTTAGTATAGGACATAAGGAAATGATTTTCCAACTTTTTGTTCGTTGAAACTTTTATCTGTTCTGTTTTAATGAAACAATAACATTTAATATATTTATTTGTTAAGGTAGAGCTAGCCGATGCTTTAGCCAAATATGATCAATCTATGCGACAAATTTCGACACTTGAAGAGAAAATTTCAATTATGGAAGCCGAAAGTCAGTGTTTAGGTTCACTTCGACATGAGCTGCAGGTTTGTTTTCTGTTTTTATGAAGTTAGAAAGAAAGTTCATCCGTTTACGTTATCGTCGGAGGGTCTTCCTTTTCAGAGGGCATCTTTACGGGACAAGGAGGGAGAAGAAAATTGTATGGTGAAAAAATTGATTTCATGTCACTCTTCCTTCTCCGATCTCAGTCAACTATATTTCATTGGTTGCTTATTAATAATTATAAAAAACTGCAGATTTCCAATCGTGTGTTGGAAAACGAAGTATAAACAACAAAATTACAGGCATTAAGGTTGCGCTATGAAAATTTACTGGAGGCACATGGTGAGAAAATTGAACGGATTGAAGAGCTTGAGTTAGATTTAGCAGATGTCAAGAAACTATTAAAGGACCAGGTAACATCGAAATTCTATTTTGAATTAGTATCTCGTGCACTGAGGTAAAGAACTCAAAAAGACTTGTTTCAGAGAAGTACATTGACGTTTTAGAAATTAAGAGTTCATCTTCCAGCAGCAAAGTTACCGCTTGGTAACAGCAATTTGAGAAGTTGGTTTTTATAATTTAGGCGAGGTTGATGAAGAGAAAACCGTAGTAGAGTTGGAGGGAATTTGACCTGTTGATTTTTTTATAATTTATTTTTCGCTCTTAACGTTCTACATAAATACGATTCGGGATCAGTGTAATTCAGGAACGTAATAATTTTTCCGGGGATTATCTCATTCGATTTATTATTTAGATTTTTAATTTTCATGACCTTTTTTTCATTAGTCAATTTTTCAGATGGAATATTTCTTGGGGAAGAGCTGAGTCGATTGATCCTCAAGTAAATTCTTCAAAATACTTGCATTGATGGATTTATTGAAAGAAAATATGGTCATTTCATTTCAAATGCCATTAAATGTTGTTTCTCAGGTTTAGAAAAATAACTGGGAGCTGGTTGAAATTCAGGTCACATTTGTCTAAAGTTCAAATTTATATTGAAGTAATGATCAGGGTAACATATCTAGCATTATGGAGTTTTGAGTTTCTTAAAAATAATCCGGAAGAAAGCTTAGGTTCGGGATGTGTGCTACTTGTCTGGATATAAAACTTAACGCTTATTGACACTGTTTCGGATTTTTTTTGTCTAAATGCTTTCAGTGATACGTACGCTAATTTTTGCTGGTATCCGTTTTGTTTTTAATCTACATTTCTTTGTTTTTTTCAGCAATAGTGAATTGTATCGTCGAGTCGCAAAACTTAAATTAATCTTAGGCTAGGGAAAAATAACACATTTTTTCACATCTTTCACGACTTTTCTGAACAACATGTCTGTGATGTCTTGACTTCTCCAATCTGACAGATATTCTTTTCGGGTTTTCAAAAAAAGAATTCATTTTGGTGAAGCGTTTTGTAATACTTCCATGATACATATTTCGTAAAATATAAATGATTTCATGTCGTTCCTCGTCTACATGGCAAGAAATAATGGTTTAATAAATCTCATTTCAACGAGTGAATGTCAAAATATTACCACTTTCAAATCAACTCACTTCCGAAATTGGTAGTCCGCACGGAAAGTTCAAAGTAATTCAAGTCAAAGTAATTATTCTGCTTACATTTTAAGCAATGATTACGAATGTTTTTCCAGACAACAATAGTATTGCATGATATTAAAAGCCATTTCTTGATACTTTATCAATAACTTAGGGAGGATTTTGCAGTCGTGATGGTTTTTTACAATAGAGCCAGAAGTCTTCTCAAAGCACGCATGCATCGATTACATCTAATGTTGCGCATGAAACATCATGCATGCGCATATAATAATATATACTTGTATACATGTATATCATACATACAAGCATCTTATATATGCGTACATGAATGTCACACACACACACATGCAGTGAATTCTTAATTCGCAGAATTATCACTGTCCTAACATATTTGCATTGTAGCATTACAAAATAGGACTGTTACATCCTACTGTAGCATTTATCATAGTTTCGTAACGTAAAATGATGGAACAAACCAAAATCTCCCTGAAATTTTCATGTCAAAATTAAAATTAACATAAAATTTAGCAATGTAAAGTTAGAGAAAATGTATGTGTAATGGTCTGAAAATGTTTCATTCCGTCCCGTAAATGAACAATAATCACAGTTGATGACGTCATGGGTCGATAATATGTACGAGGCGTCCCAATAGTTTCGTGGCGCTGTGCTTTTGTTTATTTAGGGCGTTGTATCACGTAATAATAGTTTTTCGATAACACGATATCAATCAGTTCAAATTATCGGGGAATATGAAACTGAACAACAATAACCAGGAATGGTATACGCTTCCCATCCAATTTCTATCTAAATTAATCATCTCTAAGCATATTCCAGACGAGACCAACAGGGAATCGTTTCAAGCGCTCAGGGAAGACCAACAGGGAATCGTTTCGAGTGCTCTAACACGTTTTTGTTTGGTAAATTTGGTGGTAAAATACAAATATATACGACGAGCAATTCCCACCACGACAAGTATATGTCTGAAGGTTATTAACCTTATAACCATAGCATTTCATTTTTTAGTTCTTAGTTTTAATTTTTTTCTAGGTAAAATTTTAATGTTTAGGATGGAGAGAAATTTTCACAACTTATCTTCGGATAACGGTACGGTTAACAGTAATCATTAATACTTCTCAGGAATTATTTCTCTTTTGTTATCGTATCTTTATCGAAGTTATGATGTTTGTATTGTGCTATAAACTATACATGTTCTCAATTTTTTATCATAATAATATCTCTCTTGCTGACTACTGTATTTTTCAATTTTTGATTACGAAAATGATGAAACTTACCATTATACCTTAAAATGTATACTGTAGTATGATGAACTGATATCCACTAATGATAGGTATTTATAGATTCGACATTGCTATGTATAGATCTTCCACTTTGACAATGGAGGTATTTGAAAAAGAAAAAAAAATCGCAAAAATATGTTAAGATATAAAAATTATGTTACGGTTTGTATGAGGGGTCCAGATTTTCATATCACGTAAGATAGAGATGTGATGTTATCAGTGCAAAATCTAAAATGAGAATGTAAGGAAATTTTGCAGTCGAAGTCGGAGAACAGAATGAAATTCGTGATTTAGAGAAATATGAATGATTTCCATTGGTGATAGTTAGGAATAATCCTCAACTTACCATTTTTATTCGCTAAGATAAATAAATTTGTTCCATTAGTTATGACGATCAAACAATTTGTTAAAAATTACAAATAAAATTATTCCTAACTATTATCCTTGGGTAATCATATCGCTGAAAAACACAAATATTGTTTATTTGTATGTGATAGTAATATGACTGTTTTTCGCAGATAGCAGAAATTCGCGAAAGTTACGTGTGAGAGGACGAGCTCAAGAGGGAAACAATGGTTTCACTCGTGGAAGGTAAGAGACGAAAATATTTATTAAAAACAAATAGTAATTTAAATAGATGTAGAATGATGTGGTTAATGTGTTTAGTTCATCATAAAACCTATCCTCTTATACCAATTTAATTGTATAAAATATATATTCACATCATGCCTGCTTATGGAAGAGACTTGCAGTAATTGAATAGTCACTAGTCTGGGCCGATTAGCGTTTAATCTTCAAGCATGACAGTATTTTGCTAGAAACGTTACGTTAAGTGTATGGTGTTCAGCTTGTAATCATATTGCCAAATGTTTGGTTCTATCTTGGTGTATGCGGAAAATATCCACTAATATCATCCACTGATTTTTTATAAAGTTAAATCAATCAGTAATCAGAAGTAGATTTAGCTAGCGTCACAAGACGGATTCTCATACCATTGTAAAAATGAGACCATTTTTGTGATAAGATTATTGGAAAATCACATTTTGGTACTCCAATTACTTCCGGATGAACTTCAATTGCCATAAACATTCCATACCAAATACACTATAAATTACTCCACGACCAGGCAATGTAAATTAGCTCCATGATTAAGCGATAATAGCAAAATCTTGAATTGAAGGTTTTTGATATCATGTCATGGTTGTGGCTTCTATAAAGCGGAAAGAAATAATACATCATTTAATGAAGTTAATTGAATAGTAAAAGTCAAGAATAAAATGGGCTTCCTATCAAGAATAGATAAGATGTGGAAAAATAGTAATATGGTAAAATAATAAAAAAAAAAGCGTGTAAGCGCGCTGCACGATCAAAACGATAAAAACAAAATGGTCAAGGAGAATGTTGATGGATTTTCAAAAAACTTGAAGCCGTCTCTCATCGTTGATATCTGTTACCTGTGCTGGACTGTTTTTAACAATGTAGTTTCAGGACTAAAGACATCGATATCAGTACTACAACGAGTGATACACCAATTGAATCAGGTCATTGCCATCTTAGTTAATATGCTTTCCTTATTTACTCTCTTGCTCTGGACCATATGCATATTTGTTTCATGCAGCTCCAATCCTTTTCCACAATTCTTTAAAGCTATTAAGCCATTTGATTCCGCCAATTCATTTATTTCTTTTTATATTTTTGGAGCTTCGATTCAAAAATTTCAGGTGGCGCCGGAAAAAGAACTAGAAGAAAATCATTTCCTGATGCTCAAGATTTACGAGTAAGTTTTTTCTCAACTTCTATTTGTAATAAAAAATTATTTTCCGGGAACTTTTTGAATTATATTATCAAGCAAGAGAGGCATAAGAATCGTTAGTTAATAAAAGTGGGTAGAGTAACAGGCTCACCAATGACGTTCATCAGCATTTTATGAGAAGGGCATAATGGTCCGATGTCGGTATATAGTTCTAAATAAATTGGGTCTATTTTCATTTTGAAAGAGTTTGGAAGAATCAGTTTGAAAATTCAGATCATCTATAGTTAATTTGCTCATTCACATTAGCAGATCAAAAGCTGCGATAAGAACTTATCATTCAAATGTGCGAAATGTAGAAGTTAAATAAATGCTAAACTGGATAGAGTATTGAATAAAGGATAAGTACTGAAAATTACGTCGATGAGTTAGATAGTGGATAAAGATACTATATATTGCATTGATTGCTTTTTCTACGGTTAAAGAAATTTTAGAAGCAATCTGAAATTGGAGAAGGATGTTGCGAACCCGAACAACCCGCACGTTCAAGCAAGCGCTTAAAAAAATCAGGTTTCGATTCTGCTCGCTTACTAGTTCCAAGTGATGAACTTTCGGTAAGATTTCTTACTATTTAAAAATTAGTTTCTTTGATAGAAAAGTAAAAGTTTATTTCATTACTCTTGTTATTGCGTTATTATTTTATCACATTCTCACCAATATAAGGATAAATTTTTCACTAATGTCTTAGTCAAACTGAATTTCGATACTGAAGGAGTCATGCAAAATGAACAGGACTGTTCATTTTTCAGTTCAATGCTTTTTTTGTCCACAACATTTTTTTTCTAGCGCAGTAATAGGCTTCTTGAAAGACTTATGATTTTATCAGATCATTTTCTTTGTTAAATTGTTGCTTTAAACTTGTTTTCTTTGCTTGTTAATACAGCATTCTATGAACGTGCACACTTTTTCACGGAATATGTTCCGAAATTTTGTTACTGTCACATCTTTTAGAGTATTCTCTGTGCCATGCTTTAAACCATTCTCTGTGCAAAATGAAAACTTAAATTTGGCAGGTCGTCCCAAAAAATTCAAATTTTTGAAGATTCGTATTCAACAAAATTAGGTTTTAAGTTTGTAAGCAAGAAAAGTTAAAGTTTAAGTATTATAAGAGGAAAATATCTCTATTTTGACGAAGCAATTTCAGAAGTCACAGATGCATGAAGGAAAAGTTGGGCATAATTGCGAAGATGATGCAGTAGATGTTGTCAGCAATAATGATGATCCATTGACAGAACTTGATGTCGAGTCGTGTATGATTTTACCTTTTATTGTGTTTTATAAACTTATGTGGAGAAATGTCAAAGAAGAAAGCAATGAGTGGATTTTACTTATGTCAGAGATATGGTTACATGCAGACACTATATTTTTTTTTCCAGCTGGTAAAAAAGCAACAAGTGGATTTGAAAATCGTCGGAAGGATGAATTAGGAGAAAGTTATCAGCAATATATTTTGAATCAAGCTCAGAAAGGTATTTCGCCAACAAGACGTGATATATTCATCGATGATGATATCCGTTATGGGTACGATGGGTCAAGTGGCAGTGGCATTTCGAGTATGTTACGGTTGGATCGAAAGCCTGTACCGGCGACTGCACCTTTACTGACAACTGAACGAACACATGTCCGAGTTGCAAAACGCAAAAATGGTGAGTTCAACTTTTGACTAAGGTGCATGGTTAAGTGGCTTTCCAAAAAGGAGGTGCTGTAACTATAAAAATTTCAGATGAGGCGGCTAAACACAGAGAAAGAAGATTACAGGAACGAGAATTGCTTCAGAAAGATGGGCGAGGCAGGAGTGCAAGAGTCAAGTATGTGTTTAACGTTTTTGTATGTTTTGGAAATTGAAATGTGCAGTGTTAATGTCTAATTTATTTACTTACATAGGTTCCATTACTTTCATTGATGATTCTTCAGTTGAATGTCTTTCTACCATTGTGGGTCTTTAGGTTCGTAATCCATTCAGCCGTTTAGTTTTTTTTATTTTTGTATATTAACCTTATATTTCGTTGCCGAAAAAGATATTTCCTTTGGGTTGACGCTGTGACGTGATAAATATGAAGTGAATTTTCTAAAATACATTGGTCCGTCATTTATTCTAGGAGTAACATCATTAATGTCATCTTAAGCTTTATTTTGCTTTTCAGTCGGTACTATTACGAAGAAGAAAAGCCGATGCTGGATGATGTCGATGATGTGAGTCTTACTTAAATTTAGTATTCATTGAAATTTTTTTCTTTGACTGAAGTCAATAACCGTCTTTGTTTTTCTCTCATTTTTTCTGATACGTTTTTTCCAATATCGAGTTTAATGTTTGATTTGAAAAAAATAGTTTGCAGTATTGGTAGGTGGAACGGATCTAATTATAATTGTGATTTAGATTTTCATCTTAGAAATTTCAAAAAAGCTTTTAAAAACGAAAAAAGACTGTGCAGATTACGAAAACATAAATTTTCAAAACTTTCTAAAGGTAATGTATGCCGAGATTGGTCTTGGCGACAATGATTTTATTGAAACTAGCTTCGAGGAAGAGGAACTAATATATGCAGCTGACAGTGACCTTGTGGCTGCGAGCGCTACTGAAGAAGGAGGTAATTGCGATAATGCGATGCCTACGGAGTGCATGCGAAGCGAATCTATCCAGGAAACGCAGGAAGAAGGTAGATAGACTTGTGTTTATACTATTAACAGATCTGAAATAAAATACCGGAACAATGCCAATTTCAAAATTAAAAAATTAGTAAAAGTAATTGCATTCGTCAGGAAAAATGTGGTGTTGAAGATGAATCTGCGGATCAACCGATTGGGTTGCTTTTGAGTGGTCATGGTGTGACGAAATGCCTAGCTTCTCTTTTCAGTTTTGTTGTATTTTATTATATAATTATGAATCGATTGAATTTTAGATCGTACTCTACCAAAGCAAGAGGATATGATCGAGCAGGTCAATGATGATGTCGAATCCAATGATGATGAAGCGCCACCAGAACTAGAACCTCAAAGTCCTACTCTGCAGAAGGTGGTACGGCGTCCAAGTGCGAATAAACATGATGTGGGTTTTGTATAGCTTTTATTCGGAATATGTTGAAATAGTTTCTCTCAATTCAATTGTTTGTTGATTTGAGATCTTTCAAATATTGTTCGTTTAATCTTTTATCCTTTGTTTTTGATTAAAGGACGCAACGAATTTTGGTGACGGTGAGATGCAAGTTATCTGTGTTCAAACACCAAACGGAACGGAACAATTCATACAGCTTGCTCCTGGACAAACTCTTAGCGGCAAATTTTTTTTCAAAATTAGCTTCTTTGTTGTTTAAATATTTAACTTAAATTTCTCTTAGAAAGAGTTTAGATTTTCTTAGTTTAAAATTTTTCGGGTATTTTCATTTTGTTACATGCATAGCTCCTATTAGTCATGTCAGCTCTCTGTGACCAAGATTGGTTTAATGCTTCGAGTTCCTATGCCGTAAATCACACTTCAGCGCTTCTTGTTTTATATTCGTAAATGCTTGGTTTTTTCTAATATAGGAACTAATTTCATGAGAGTAAGCTTTCAGCAGTGGCAAATTACCATTGTGACTGTAGAATTCATCAAAATAAAATAAGTCTTGATCTGCTTGTTATTTTCTAGACGATAACGCGTTGTTCATGAGCGAAAGTGATAATGTTGAAGCGAACGTACGTCACGATCTTCGAGCAGTTGAATTTAGTTTCTTGGATTCAAAAAATATTTGTTGTGGTTTATGTGGTGAAATTGTTCTGTATGATTTGTTGCTGAGTTCACATATTCCACAGCATCATCCCGAGGTAATCGAAATCATCTCTTAACTCACGTTTGCGATGTTTCTGTTCATTCTTTTTCTTGAAAAATTTATTGCAATTTTTTAGAAATTTATTGTAATTTTTGATTAAAAAAATCAAACTGCAATAAATTAACTTCATTATTGAATAATTTTTAGGTGCTAGAAGAAGGCGTAACGGCATTCGAAGATGTTCCATATGAAACTTGGTTAAGAGAAAAGTTAAGCGAAGAGAAGCGACGCATGGAGAATAGTGTGTGTAATATTTATGATGATCTTTCATCTAGTCATAATTCCAGTCGTATTTATCGAAGCGTTTCTACGGTAAAAATATTCATATTTTCGTATTATAAAACATTGTTTCTGCAAAGATGAAGTTTGAGAACCTTACTCATCGTTATTGTTTATAGACTTATTGTCAATGAACAAGTGGGAAATCTTCACCTACAATAGAAAATCTTTAGATTAAAAAGCTTACCACGGTCACTTGTTGACATTTTGATCTCTTTATATCAATTCAATTGTTTCAAAGTATGGGGAAGAAGAATGCCTCATATAAAACTAGTTTTCAAAATGGAATGGCCGGGGAGATTTTGGATTATTCCATCATTATACATTACAAAACTATTACAAACGCATATAGTGGGACGTAAGAGTTCTGTTTTGCAATGTTACAATGCAAATATGTTAGAACAATGAAATATTCAAACGCAGTGTAACACATTTTTATTATTTTCAGATTCGCGTCAATCCAAACGAAATGTCGCTAAATCAGCTAATAACAGCACTACGGAAAAAAATGTTCGAAAAGCTGGGTCGCGCTGTATGTTTATATTTGTATATTTTTTGACCAAATTGAACGTGAGAAACAGAGAAGACGAAGAAGAAAAAATTAAGGGTTTATTCTTGCTAAGTGGACCAAACTTTAATTGCTGTTGCATTTTCTTGAAGAGTAAATATCTGTTGGAATGTTTGCAAAATAAAATATGTATTATTTTTTCTGGACCATATAGTTTTGTAAATTTACTTATTAGATGATTATGTAGTCTTTTACTTTCTCTATTTGAACTTCAGAAAAAAATTGCTTAGAAATTGAGTAATACATCTCAAACTGACATAATGTAATACCTAGCACATTGATATAATTATAAAATAATAATGTTGAATGCAGATAAAATAATAAATGTTGCATACAGGTGCCCGTAACTTTGGTAGATAAGCAACATGCACGTTGTGGTATTTGCAATGCGGTAGTATCGCTTAATCGTAAATTTGAAGTTGTTCATCTAGTTCGACATTTCAATGCATGGCATCCATCTGTTCATCAGTGTGCGGGAAAGTGGAAACTGAAGGTTGGAAAACGTTTCTCCTCATTCGGCATTGCAGATTTTAGCTGCTGCTAGAACTGCTTCGAGAATAATTTTTAGATCACACCAGAAATTTTTGTTGGGAATTCAAATAACTTTTATATGTACGAATCTAGTTAGTCTCTTTCGTCTGGATTTACTAACCTGAAATGTTACTTTCTTGTATTGGATGGTTTCTGTCTCCGGATCATCTGCATATCTGAGGAGTATAGGTTCAATAATAACATGATTTGTTTTATCTGTTTTATCTATCAGCTTCATTTTTAGAGGTAAAAATAGATGTCATTAAGCAACTTCAATTTTTTAAAAACCCATTGATTCTCATTGATCATTTCGTGTCACTTTTATTTTATAACCGCGGTTATAAACTTTTATTTACTATTTTTCCATACCTTCTCTATTTTTAGTTGGAAGCTCATTTCATTATTGATTTTTTCTATTTAATTTACTTCATTTAGTGATGTATTATTTTTTTTTCATTTTATAGAAGCCGCAACCAGGACTCGGAAAACCTTTATCAATTCAAGATTTTGCTGTCATCGATACATCGCTTGATCGTGGAGCTAATTTACAGTGTATTTGGTGTGGAATGTTTATGGCAGCCGAAGCACTCGCTATGCATTTCTCGGAAGTTCATCCGGAAGAAGTTGAAGTGCCAAAATGTAATCTTTGTTTGCAGGTACATTTCCCTGGATTTTCGTACAGCGATTTGATTCGTTATAGGTTTTGACATCTTGATTTTCTTCGGATTCCTTTGGTAAGAATATTCTTTTAAGGAACTTGTTATTAATGCTCGTTTGCTAGAGAAATATGGCGATGAATTTGATGTTTCAATGCCGGATGAACATCGCATTAGATGTGGGAAATATGGTACGATGCATACATCAGAAGCTCGTTTAAATGCTGGTTTGTTTTATCAAAATAGTTTGTTCTTTGCTCTTCTACTGCTTATTTTTTCTCTTCTACTTGTTTTAGAGTTTAGCGACAGTCCTCATAGATGTGCACCAAATGTGTAATAAATATCTGCAAACGGTCCACCGAGAAAATTCTTTATTTCGGAAAGAAAAGATGAAGTTTTAAACAAATTTTAAACGACAATTAAATATTGTATAATGAGCTCAGAAATAGTATTTTTATAGCGATAGAGAAGCGACTTAAACTCTGTGAAGAAGGGAAAAATGCGAACGACATCGAGGATGATGAAATGGACGAAGAAAGAGCTACGAGTTATGTTAACAGTCGAATGACATTTGGTTGGTATTAATCGCATGAGATTTTCAAACGATTTTCGATTGAAAAAAGTTAAAGGCGGTATAAATTGTCTCCTGTAAAGGATGGTTTATTATGCCTTGGTTTTGTTTTCATTTTCATCTAACCTGTGAGGATCGCTCCCTTTTATGTTGACTCTTTTGCTGGAAATCTCGTCGATTACATCAGATGAAGAACAACATAGCCGTTATCCATCACACTGTGCATATTATAATATGAAATAAGATTTGATACTTCTCAAACTATATCATTGTTCAACAAAAGGTACCTTTTGCATGTCTTAATTTTTTTTACTTTTTTAGGTCGGCGAAGTAAACCAAAACGGCAGTTTATAATGCCCGCTTTGCGACAAGCAGCGCCGGTGAATAGCCGATATGTAGAAGCAGTAAATGATTGTCACTGGAAATGTAAAATGTGTAATGGCGATATCTTAGCAGCAGTGATAAGTGCTGGCGCAATACGTCATTTTCGAACTGAGCATCCACACCATCTTCACAACATGCAGTATGAATTATGCAGGGTTAGGGACTGTTCCACTTTTTTCGAATTTTTACATCTGAAGACACAAATGCTCTCCGCATAAGTTTTGCACAGACGTTGGATGGATGACTTTTGAATATTTGAAATTATATTTTGTTCATGGTTCAGGCGGAAACATGTTTGGTCCAAAACAGTTTTTGCTTACTCCAATTTGGGAATTTCTCCATTTCGGTTTATGTCCAGTCTTTGGTAGTTTCTTTTGGACGTCATGAGAATAAAATATTTCATATTTCATAGTCATGATACATTTGATAATAGGTCTTGATGATGCGCACTACGGAGCTTGAGATTTAAATTAGAGTTTTTATTACAGACAAGATTGGAAAGGATTTCTGACGGATGCATGGAATTCATCAATCCACAGTTGATTGAATGCCTAGTGTGCAACATGACATATATGCTGCATCGACCGTTTAATATGTGCCGAGCTATTCGTCATCTTCGATCCAAGCATCCGGATTTAATGCCTGAATTTGCTTCTACTGCGGATGCGGTGCGTTTTCATTTTCTAAAAATAATCATTTGCTTCTATGTAGCTTCATCCACTTGTCTCGAACGAAGAAATGACTGCATGCATTTATATGCCCGAAGTTCTCCGTAAATTTTTGAGTAATTTTTATTTCAAAATGTTGCTTTGCAGGGTAATAATTTGCAACGCAACCGAATGGTACGAGGCCAGGGTTAGTCCAACTTTAAATATTAAAACAAAATAAGATGCAGTTTGCATGATATCAGTTTCTTATATATGATATGTATATATTCTATCCTATTCAGATTCTCTTTTTCTATTGCAGAGCTTTCTGAAGGCATGATCACTGATCCAGCCACAATTGCGACGCTTAAAGCGCAATATGGTGTCGACTTCAAAAAAGTTTGTTGTCAAATTCAACTTAATTTTATGTGGTTAAACTATGAATTAGAAATATAATTGAAGTAAAGTTTGCCCAGTTTGATCATTATGCACTTTTAATATAATTGAAGTTAAAATTTATCCAGTTTGATCATTATGCACTCTTTGTTTTTAGGTACAGGCATTGAAAGGTGCAAATGGTGAACCGGTTTACGTACTGCTAGATGAAGGTGATGAGATAGATCCGGAGACTGCTAGTCAACTTGCTGCTTCTGTTGCAGCAGGAGATTTTGATCGAGCTAAACCAGAAATACGGCATACAAAATCTACGACTGGTCCTGCCGCTGGTGCAACTGCTACTACTGTCGATATCAGTGACAGAAATGCTGTTTCTGCTAGACCTACTTCGGAAGTGAGCTCTTTAATTTATTGTTCATCCACGAAGTAAGCGGATATATTACGTTTATTCCGTTTCTTCAGCTAATGTTTTGTGTTCTCTTATTTTTTGCACTGGCTTTTAGTTTGAAGCTAATGAGTGTACATTTCATTTCGTGAAGATAGATATACATTTGAAAACTTTCTATCGGGAGAACCATCTGTAGTAAACTGTTAGTTACTCAAGAAATTTTTACATGACAAACTGTGTAATAGTTTTTTGCTTCGTTATGTACACCTATTACAAGTCATTTCAGTATTTGATTAAATTAAATATACAGATTCTTACATAGGTTAATTAGATTATTACAAAGTTTCTTTTTTGAGATAGAAAATTATTACCCTTTGCAGAAAATTCCGCGAGGGCAGCAACAGAAACAAGTCAAATCTGGCCCAACAAAAAATATTGGAAGTTCAAATTTTGAAATTGGTAATTTTCGAGTTTTTTTCTTTTTTATTATTGAATATCCAATAGGAAACTAGGAAGCGTGCCCTCGACCTTCACTCTTCAAATCCGTAAAAGAATTTTTCTCACTATTAAAAATAATTCAGAGGAGTTGTCGTTCTACAAGCAGTAATTCCTTTGACGTATATCGTATATCAACTCTTCTATAAGATCATAAATTTCGGATTATTTGATAAAAATTTTGTTATGTTTCGCTTTAGTGGATGCAAATTCTCAAGACCCTAATTTTTCATCTTGTTATGTTAAACATAAAAGGTAATGTAAAAAAAATTAATTTTTCATCGATGATTGTTCTGATTTTCAAGGACCTGTGAATAAGAAATTAGATGAGCCAACAGAGCCGTTTATTATTGCTTCGGATTAAAGTTTGTCACAAAGTGAAGTTTTTTCCACGGTCCTGTGCGATGCGATATATACTAAAGAACCAGTGATTATGGCATTTGTTTAATGAATTGTTATTAGCCATATATTTTTGTTGCCAACATTATTGATTCTACTTTTATTTTTTCCAAATTTGGAATTTCTTTTCCTAAAATTTGCTCTTCTTTCTTTTATTTGCTTCCACACATAAGCGGCAAAAGAATAAAAATTTCTGACCTAATTTTCTTATTCAGAAGGTTTATGTCTTTTTATTTTATAGTAGACATTTTCATCGTGAAAACTTAGAGTTATTGTTTAGATGTTTTATACTGCGATGATTTTATATTTAGGATAACTGTACTTTCAAACTTTAATGACAAGGAAAAACCAATTATAGTCATATTTGTGAAGCTTATAACGATCCTAACAATATAAATGATTCGCTAATATATTGCATGTTATTAGGTTTGATATGCAAAATAAATGTAAATTATTTTTCTCTGAGGAATCCTGATTTCATTATATTTTGTTTCTGTGTTATATTTCTTATTATTTACAATTAATAAATTTTTCTCCAATATCGATCTTTCTAAATAAAAATATGGAGGTATTTTTGGTCATATATCAGACAAATAATAGTATCTCGTGAAATTTGGTAAATTTATTTCCTTGCCTATTAAATTTTTTAAGTTATTAGTTTTTAGATTTATTACTTTACTGAGCAGATGTCATTTGTTTTGATTCAGTTGTCATCATTCTCGAAATAAACCAATTCATATTTCATAAATTCTCATATTAGCTATGAATATAATGTATAGCTGGAATATTGTAATCAAAGCGAAGATTTTCCTCGAATGATTATTATTTTGGAGGCATATAAGCATGAGAAAGTATTGATTGTTGGGAATTTAATATTTTATCATCTGTAATTCAGTAAGGATAAAAACATTCATCTCTTTCATATAGCATTGTTTTTGTTATTTTACTAAAGAACAATAGCAAAAAAAAAAACTAAAGAGGAATCAGTAATAATTAGTTCTAATCAAATTTTCAGAAATTGTTTACAAAGCTATTTGAAAGATTAGAGATCGGGTAATGTTTATTTTCCGTATCTGTCATTATGCTTTTGAATATATGTAAATGTGAAAGTAAGACTTGTGATAGGCAAGAAAGAAATCGAAGTATGGATTGTATGATTTTTCTTTCTTATTTTAGGATGGTAAAGGGCTAATAATCTTTCTCTTTCATGATAATATAGTTATAATTCAAGCATTGATGATTTTTCTTCTGCTCAATAAATAATTTACTATCAATCCTAAAATTAGAAAAGTGGACAAAAATAGAATTGAAAATGAAAATGGTGGGAAAGGTAATTCAAAATTAAAAGTGGAAATAAAAAAGGTAATTTTCACAATCCATCTTATTAACAATAATTTTATTTTGTTGAAATAGAATGAGAAAAACTATAATTGAAATTGTAATAGTAAAATGTTAATTTTAGAAATGAAAAAAACTATAATTGAAATTGTAATACTGAAATGTTAATTTTAGGAATGAAAAGAACTATAATTGAGATTGTAATACCGAAATGTTAATTTTAGGAATGGAAAAAACTATAATTGAAATTGTAATAGTAAAAATGTTAATTTTAGGAATGAAAAGAACTATAATTGAGATTGTAATACCGAAATGTTAATTTTAGGAATGGAAAAAACTATAATTGAAATTGTAATAGTAAAAATGTTAATTTTAGGAATGAAAAGAACTATAATTGAGATTGTAATACCGAAATGTTAATTTTAGGAATGGAAAAAACTATAATTGAAATTGTAATAGTAAAAATGTTAATTTTAGGAATGAAAAGAACTATAATTGAGATTGTAATACCGAAATGTTAATTTTAGGAATGGAAAAAACTATAATTGAAATTGTAGCACTGAAATGTTAATTTTAGTTTTCATATATTACAAAGAAAAAAATTAGCAAATTAAAGAGAAGAAAAAAAGAATGACACCTAAAAAAGGTTAAAAGAGTACCATCCATTTCATTCTATTAATATCTGTGTGTATTTAAATGATACTATTAATTGTAATGTCTTCTTCTTGTTTTAAATTTGCAAAAAGGAAATTCTTCCGTTCCATTCTAATAATAATTAATTGTAATGTCTTTTTTTTTTCTTCTTCCTTCTTTTTCTCATTTGCTAAATTAATGATGACAGAATTGATTAGTAGTAAATTAATCAATGATAAATTCGTTAATCATTGATAAGTTTGATCTAATAGGAAATATTTCAATTTTCATTCTTTTTCTTATTTAGGTTTTTAATTTTCCTGAAAAATTTTTCCGAAAATATTTGGAATCTTTTTTTTTTTTTTTTTAGGAATTATTTAGAATAATTTAAAATTGATAATTGTTTCTATTTGTGCTTTTTTCTTTTCCTGAAAGAGCAGCAAATGTAAGTTTCTTTCGGAATTTACAACTAACTAATGTGTCGGAAAATTTTTTCCGATTCCGTTTTTTGATTTCCTATTTTTTTTCCGATTTCCTATTTAAATTAATGGGGATTGAAATGAACAGAGAGAAAATGGTGATAAGAGAATGTAGCGTTTGTTATCGCTATTGATCGATGGTAATAATGTTGTTGCTGTTGTTGTTGTTGTTGTTGTTATTAATGATAGTGATGATTATGATGGATAAATGTTGAAAGCAATGAATACAAATGATATTTAGATAATATGAAATATTTTCATTTTTTTTTTCTCTCTAACTATTTCAATTAATATTGAAAATGAATGATCAAAATGATTATTATAAAAAGTTTCACAATAACAATTATTGAATGAATAACATCTAAAATGGTAATAATAATAATAACAATAATAGTGACAAATAATAATAATAAGATAATAACAATGAATGATAGCAACAATAATAATAATAACAATAACAATACTAAAATAATAATAAGAGTAGTAGTATTAATAATAGTAATAATAATGATAATAATGATAATAATGGTAATAATAATAATAAAGTAATAAATTCTAATTAAGTGATCTTGTAAAAACATAAAAGAGTATTGTGAATGCCTTTGTTGATGAAAATGTCTGACCGTAATTTATCGTCATCGTCGTCATTGTTACCTTCATGCTTCCTCGTTCTTATCATTCTTATATATCATTAATGTTATCGTTGTGCTATTGTTGTCGTTGTCCTCTGCTGTTGTAGCAGTTTGTCGGGATCATTTTTGTCATCATCTTAAAGAGTGTGGTTTAGTGATAGGGATAGTGTTGTTATCTTACCCTAACGACTTCATATATAGTTGTTGAAGGGTGATTTTCTCGAAGAAGCTCCACCCATTCCGTTTATTACCGACCCATATCATCCATCGTTGTGGTGCTCTAAAAATCCAATACATTTTACCGCCTACCGCGACACCTCATTGATGTTTCATCTACAAGTTTTACCTTTCTTTCTTCCATTTACCTCAACTTATTTATTATTAACGGGATTACTGCTACTCCAAAGCAATGATAATAATGTTGAAGCACAACGAGATCGAGCTGAAGTTAATATCCGTGTTTCTGGTGCATGTAGTACAGGTAAAAAATAACAACAAATTTTCCATTCTTTTTTTCTTTTTTACTTTTGAATTATTTTCATCAAATTTTCATTTAAATTATTAATGTAATTGAGTAGCAAGCAGTATGATATAGAAAAGGATACATGGATAATTTGATGAATGATTGAATTTTAAATATCAAATAAATTGCATCATTTAAATTAGAAAGATAAAAGGAGCATTATAAAAATGAGTTTGTTACAAACTTATATAAGCTTGCCAGTGATTAAGCTTATAAGCTAACGAGTGATAAATTTGCAGTAACCGAATATTATTTTTCTTTTCCATAAATTTCAATCATTGTTATCCAGTATCAAATTTATTTCATCCAATATCAAATCTATTCCTAACTTTGTCAATAATCTATGCCAAATCATTTTTAATCCCTTTCATAAATCGATACTAAATTTATTCCTCACACATATCAAAATATATTATCATTAACTTATATATAAATTATATAAACTTAATATAAATTATTAAATTATTATGTAATTAAATTTATATTATTAAATTGTTATATATACATATATAAATCATATATATATACTAAATTTTTTGTATATTATTAAATTATTATATATAAATTATATAAACTTAACGTAAATATCATAGCATTTTATAACTGTTGAAAATAATTATCATAGCATTTTGTAACTGTTGTAAATTATTTTCAACTATCAGACTATAAAAGATGAAAATTCAACAGTGTTGTATAATTATAATTTCAAAAGTAAACTGATAATAAAAAGCTTTTTTAAAAAAAAGAGAAATTTTTCTTTTTTTCAAAATTAGTAAAACAAAAATGAAAATCACGTTTATTACACAATTTTCTCTTTCTTTATTGCTTTTTTTTTAAAGTAATATATTTGTTTATTTACCAAACAAATAAACAACAAACAAATAAACAAATAAACAACGTAATATAATTGAGAAAAAATGAGAAACTTTAAAAGTAAACGAAAGAAATTTTTAAGAAGTTTTAAATTAGTAATAGATATATGTAGGAATATTTTAAATGTTGTATATTAGTGATAAATATATGTAGGAATATTTTGAATGTTGTATATTAGTGATAAATATATGTAAATGATTAGAAATTTTGAAATTAGTAATATTGATTAAATTTTCAATTTTAATCAAAAATTCAACAAATTTTGAAATTAGTAATATTGATTAAATTTTCGAAATAATTTTTGAAATTAGTAATATCGATTAATTTTCAATTTTTAATCAAAATTCAACGAATATTTAGATGGAAAAGATGATCGATCATTTTATCCGTTGAAATGAAAAATATATCATTTTGTATTCATTGAAAAAATTTCAGGTTATTTTTGGGATGAAAGATCATTTCTTCCGTTACTGTCTTTACTATTACAATAAATCATTTTGCAATGGTATAATATCATACTGTAAATGTTACAAAATTATAGAAGAATGAGGAAGTAAGGAAAGATCGAGAAAAAAAAAGTAATTAAATAAATGAACTAACCTGTACGAGTAATTACTGTCAAAAAAAAGAGGTAAAAGTACTAAATGAAATTTAATAAATAGTAATTTGGCAAATTTGAAATAATTGTAAAATCATTAATTAGTGTTTGGCAAATTTTAAATAATCATAAAATTAATAATTAGTATTTCGTAAATTTGAAATAATTGTAAAATTAGCAATTAGTATTTGGTAAATTTGAAATAATTATAAAACTGATAATTGGAATTTCATAAATTTTAATTAATTGTAAAATTAGTAAATAGTATTCTTCAAATTTGAAATAATTGTAAAATTAATAATTTGTATTTGGCAAATTTAAAATAATTGTAAAATTAATAATTAGTATTTCCTAAATTTTAAATAATTGCAAAATTAATAATTAGTATTTGGTAAATTTGAAATAATTATAAAAATAATAATTAGTAATTGGCAATTTAAAATAAAAAGTATTTTAGGAAATTAATAAATTATTAATTTGAAATAAAAATTATCTTTGAGAAATTAATAAATTCTTAATTCTTTCCATTTTTACCACCTGTAAAATTTAAAAGTACTTTTCGCTTTCTTCTTTAGAAAAAGTAATAATGAAATTAAAAAATGAAATTGAATAATTATTTGTAATTGTCATACTTCTTCAATGATACTGTAACATTTTCATTACAGTTACTTTTTCAATAAATAAATGAATTTTGATAGTATTAAAGTATTTTCAATTAATGCAAGAATTAATTTAATTAATTTCAAATTAATGAAAGTTATTAAATTATTTTTTTAAAAACGTTTGTGAAAAAAATTTACAGAAATTTCTTTTATTATTAGATGAAAATAATTTTTTACTTATCTTTTCATTTGAATTATTTAATTAATATTATAATAAATGAATAAATTTTTTAGCTTAAAATTATTTGCTTTTTCAAATTTTTAATATTGAATATAAATTTCTTTTGCTAATTTAAGTACTATTTAAGTATTAAAATCATTTCAATCAATTTAGTTTTGAATAATTTTTTAATTGGAATAAATTATTCATTTCTTTATTTGCTAAAATTCATTATGATATAGATATTAGAAAATATTTTAGGTTGCACATTTGCTCAACAATATTTTTTCCTAGCTTAAGATTTACTATTCCTATTACTTAATTAATATAGTTTAATTAGTTATAAATAGTAATTAAGCTTAATTTGAATGATTTGCGCATTTGTTCAACAATATTTTTTTATAGTCTTAGATTTGTTATTCCTATCGCTTAATTAATATAGTTTAATTAGTTATAGATAGTAATTAAGCTTAATTTGAATTATTGAGCATTTGTTCAACAACATTTTTTTATAGTCTAAAATTTATTATTCCTATTACTTATTTTATATAGTTTAATTAGTTATATATAGTAATTAAGCTTAATTTGAATGATAATAAAATTTTCCAAAATAACCTCTTAAAAATTAAAATCAAATAGACAAACAAAAACCTAATCCTAATTTGACCCTTATCAATTTGATCGCTGAATTAAATTGATATCTATTTATTGAACTCTAATCAAAAACTTTCCATTTAATCATATCATCACAAACTTTTTCATTTAATCAATCATATCATAAATACACTGATATCTATTTATTGAATTCTAATCACAAACTTTCCATTTAATCATATCATCACAAACTTTTTCATTTAATCAATCATATCGTAAATACACTGATATCTATTTATTGAACTCTAATCACAAACTTTCCATTTAATCGTATCATCACAAACTTTTTCATTTAATCAATCATATCATAAATACACTGATATCTATTAATTGAATTCTAATCACAAACTCTTCATTTAATCTTATCATAAATTTTTCGAGCAAAAAGTATTGTTAAAACGATTTATTATTCATTTTGAAAATTTTATCTCTCCGTTTAGACGATCAACAAATTTTGCATTATTTAATAGAATAATAGCAAATTTCCAGTTTTCATCATCACTTATTTATATTCTTGCCATTAATATGAAATAGTTGAAATCATTTGATGATTACTGAAATAAAATGAGAAGAAATGTTGATTTCGTTGTTTCCATCTTTTAGTTTAAAATTATTATTCCTTTATAAATCTTATAAAAAGTGAACATTGAACAGAAATTATTATAAAATTGGTAGATTATTATAAATTATAAACTATTACAAAAATATTATAAAATTATCATAAAATATAAAATTGTACAAAAATTAATAATTTCACTTAATAAATTTAAATTATAATTTATTCATAATTTAAAATAGAAGTAGGTAAAATTTAGGAAATAGTAAAGAATTGATGAAATTTTGATTTGAACATATTTCTCTCTTCCGTCGTTTCTTTATTATTCCGATATTGTAAGATAGTTTAAATTGGAATAAAATTTCATCAAAATACAATATATTGTAGACATATTACAACATATTATATTAATGAAAATAAAATTTAATTTTCTTTTGTTTATAATAATACAATGGTTTAATTGTATTTTTAATCAAATTTTAGCTTATCTATCAAGGCGAGGAATTGATCCGGTAAAGTATCGACCAAAAATTCGATTTAATCCAAATCAAATCGTACTAACACCCAAAATTCCTGCCATTCCGGGATGCATCAAAATTAAAGCATCTCATGTTGAAGTTATACGACCAATAAAAAATTTAATTGCTGAAATTGAAATGCGAATTGGTGGTATACCGGATCCAAGTTATCCGACATTACCATGTTCTGAAAAAGTTAGCAAAAGAATTAATCAATGCCCATGTGGAAAATTAGAAAATACCTGGTATTAATTTAATTCTTTTTTGTTCTTTAAAAAAATATAAATTAAATTAATAGCAAATGAATTTGCTTATTTGATATATATATATATATATGTCCATTCATTCATTATTATAATATTCGTTTAATATTTTAATAAATCAAAATTATCAATTATAGTTTGAGCAGAAAAATAATGATAAAAAAAAGGGAAAGAAAGACTTAAAATATTAATTTTTAATTAATTAATGTTGATGATACGAAATAAAATTATAAAAATCATTAATGTTAAAATATCAAATGAAATTATTGATTTGATAAAATATCAATGAATGATAATAATTTGAATAAAACAATAACATATGTCTATGTAATAATTAAATAAAAGATAATAATTAAATAAAACAATAACATATTTCAATAGATGAAAATTCAATGATAATATTGTATGATTACATTTTTTTTTTTGTATTATTTTAAAAAAGAGAATATTGCAGTGTTTTTTGCGATTTTTGCAAACAAATGCGAAATCGAACAATAAGTCATGCGGTTTCGAGAACACGAACGATACAAAAGGTGAATGACAACGATTGTCAATGTGAGGTATGTTAATTGCTTTTCTTTTGTTCTATTTTTCCATTTTAATTTCTGAAATTAGTTAATTTAATTTAGCTATTAAAGGAATGAACGTAATGGATAATTAGTTCTAATTAGGATTTTTCATATTCTAACATTTTATATATGTCTAATATGTTTTTATATATATTTTGTATATGTTCTAATATTTCATATATGTTTATATATGTTAATAGACATGATTACAACAATAAATACTCTTTTAGTACTGGAAATCGAAATAATCGAATTATATATGATTAATTAGATATTTAGATATTCGAGTTTTTTATTTTTTTTTGGGAGGGGAAGGAGGCGAAGAAATTTCTTCATTTCTTCAAGAGAAAAAGGAAAGGGAATTTCTTCATTTCTTCAGAAGGAGGAGGAGGAGAAAGAATTTCTTCATTAGCTGTAATTGTTGATTTGCTAATTAGGCATGTATTAATTACAAATAATTAATGTCACATGTTTTAATTTCATTAATAATGATTAAAAATTACTCAATCTGAGCTTTGTTATTAGCAAATTTAAAGTAATTCTTTATAAATATTTGATAAGTGAATTTATTTCTAAACAATAGATGCTGAAATTGGTGGTTTTAATTATAAATAGTTAATGTCACATATTTTAACGCATAATTTACCAAAATATTGAAATATCTAATTGAATAAAAAAAGATATAAGTGTTGGAATATTAAAATAGAGATAAAAGAATTTTATATATTTTACTAGAATAAATTAATGAATTCAGATTATTCGATATTATACTATTATAATTAATATGAAATAATTTTCTGAAATAATATTTTCCCAAATTATCTAACAATTTGCATTTCAAAAATAACTTTCCTAAGTTTGAAATCATTTTTTCTTAAATAGAAAATATAAGAACTTTTTATTACTGCTTTTAAATTCTATACTATAAAATAAAAAGTTTGATAAAGAAAAGGTAAATTTAAAATGTTTAAATTCCTGTTGTACTGTTCATTCTCTTTTAGGATAATATCAATCATATGAAAATAACTGTCTCTAAGAAAAATCGGACATTTCTTTTTTCGATTAATTTAATCAACGAAAACTTTTTAGAAAATTTTCAATGATATAAAATATTTTGTGCTCATTAATTTTTTCCAATTAATAATTTGCTGCAAAATTTATTCAATAATTTCTCTTTAATTAAATTAATTAAAAAAAAAACAAAAATTTTTCTCCAAACAAATTTTATAAGCCATACTTTTTAAAAGTAAATAATTGCTACTTTTGCTACAATTTCATAATTTGCAACAAAAAATGAACGATTAAAATCTTTTTAAAATTTTAATGATTTTATTTTATAGTTGACATTGTCCAGTCTTTTTCAATGATAATTAATCGTTTGTAATCAATCAAATTAAAATTGATATTTGATTAGAATTTCTTACTACGAAAATCTACCATGATCATGTCGTAATTTTTCCTAATTGTTGTAATTTTAATTTAATCTTTGATTTTGAGTAGATAAATGACAAATTTATTTACGAATGATTTTTTAAATAAATTTATCATTTACCTTTTTGAATGATTTAAAGAAGTCCCTCTTCTGAAGCATAATTATAAGCAAACTTTAAAATTATTTATTGCGTAAGAAATATTAATTACACCTAAATGAGCATAATTATATTTACGTAAACAAAAATAATAATCTATGACATTTAAGCTGTCACAAATCTTCCCTCCCTACTACATTTAAATTATTCAATTTAATATTTAAATTTTTTCCGTGAATTACAAATCAGCATAAGTTAAATAAAATACAATTATTATTGATGTAATAATTCGTTGAAAAACATACAGTAAATTGATTTCTGTTTTTAATCAATGATTATATTTATGTTATCATAATATCAGGAAAAATAACAGGTTTTAAATTTGGTGAAAATTAAAAATTCTTTCATCAACATTTTTAGATATATGATTAGCAATTAGTAAATTAGAAGTCAACAACATATGATCATATTAGTTTTCGTCAATCATATTTATTTACCGCATTCAAACTATTGTATGCATCTTATAAAACTCTAATGAAACTCATCGTTAATTCATATACTTTATAATTTGTATACTGATTCATATAATTCATATACCAATTCATATAATAACTTGTATACTAATTCATATAATTTATAATTCATATATTAATTGGCATACTAATTCATATATTAATTCATATAATTAATATGCTAATTGACATATTAATTCATATAACTTATAATTCATATGCTAATTCGTATACTGATTCATATAATTCATATACCAATTCATATAATAACTTATATACTAATTCATATAATTTATAAATCATATATTAATTGGCATAGTAATTCATATATTTTATAATTTATATATCAATTCATATAATTAATATGCCAATTGACATATTAATTCATAATTTGTATACTAATTCATATAACTTATAATTCATATAACTAAATAACTTATAATTCATATAACTAACTTATAATTCATATAACTTATAATTCATGTGCTAATCCATACATAATTTGTATACTAATTCATATAACTTATAATTCATATAATTCGCTAATATAATTCATATACTGATATAATGATTCATATACTATTTCATGTAATTTATAATTCATAAATTAATTTATATAATTCATGTATCTTGTAATTCATTTATTAAATTCATATACTTTATAATTCATAAACTAAATCATATAAACAATTTTAAAATACAACAAATTTTCATTGTTCATGTATCTCTAAGTGAAACAAATAACTTGCATATATCAATTATTCTTTCACGAAGTAATTAATGAAATGTCAATTAATTGTTAAGTAATGACTAAAAAATTTGGCTGTCAGAAAAATCCATTTTAAAAAATTATATTTTTTCTTGTAATAAAATAAAAAATGCTAATTAACTTATTAAGCATATCAAAAAACAAAGGAAAAATATTAAATGCAATTTTATTATGTAAATAATAAATCAATTTTTTCATCATGAAATTATTTCAAAAAAATAAAACAATTAAAATTTTTTTAATTTACTCTTTATAAATACTTATTATAAATAATTAAGAGATTATTAGATGAAATTAGCAGATGAAATTGGTGAAAAAACTCTTATCAATAAATGCTTAATTATGCTCAATTAATTAATTAATTAGTATTGCATTCATTGTTAACAATACTATTTAGTGGTAAAATTTCTTGTGATATGATTATTTTTAAATTTAATATAAATTTTGAATTGGGAAGAAACTGGGAAAAGCGACTGTGTATTTTTATCGAATAAATTATTTAACTTCTATAATGGCACTACAAGAAATCCAATGTAACCTGATAAAATGATTATAATTTCGCATATATTTTTGTACAAAATTATAAATTAAAATAGTCGATTAATTTTAAAAGCTATCTAAAAAGATCAGTGAATATAAATTAATTAATTAATTAAGTAAAAATTTTTAATTTTAGTTTTGCTCTTTTCAGGTAATGCAACCAGGTTTCTATGATATTGAAACGGAAATGTGTACACCAGAATTGGATGATGTTAAAGAATATATGCCACCAGAAATTGAAAAAAATGTCGCCGAAAAACGGCCGGTAACGTCGTATTTTCATTTTTGAAATTTTACATTCGATAAAATTATGGAAAAAGATTTTAAATAATTTTAGGAATTTTTATATTTCAATTTATTAGTATGAATAAAATCTTTATTATTTACTATTCGGTTGATTTATTATATTATAAATAAAACATAATTATATTACAAAATTAAAATAAGATTTTAAATTATTTAGTATGGACTAATTTTATTTTCGAAATTATCATTCGTTGTGAATAAAATCTTTACTATTTACTATTCGATTGATTTATTATATTATAAATTATATATTATAAATAAGACATAATTATATTATAAAACTAAAATCTTGCTTTATTTCAAATATAATCAGTATAAATAAATAATGAAAAATGTTTCATAGTAAGAAAAATGGAATTATATAGGAAATGGATAACATTAATTTTGTACTTATGATCATATATGAGAATATGAAAGTTTTGAATTAAAATTAGCCAAGAAAAAGACGAGGCAGTTTAATTAGTTTAATTAATTCTAAATCAAATACTTAATTATAAATATACTTAATTTACATAAAATATACTTTAATATAATTAAATTTAATAATTAAATATAATATAATTTAATATAATCTTAAATTTAGTATAATATACTTAAATTATCTATACTTAATATATCTGCAAAAATAAACGAACCAGAAATAGTAATTGAGAATTATTTTCTCTTTTAATCGTTAATTAATTCAATTTAATCAAAAAAAAAAGTGAAAGATAAAAATGAATTATTGTTTTTAGTTAAGTTATTCATTTATCGATAATTATTATCATTTAGATTTCCATGTTTATCACTGTTTATCTAATGGATCTCGAACAACGCAGCGGTGAATCATACATTTCGGAATTCGGGAAAGCATTATTACGAAAACGTATGGCACAAAATACGATAGCATGTTTTATAATGGGAATTGATGTGAAACTTGCATAATTTCTTTTCATTAAATTAATTTAATTTAATTTAAATTTTTATTTAAAAAAATTTGTTTAATTCTTTTCTCTTTCCTTTTTTTCTCTTTTCTCCATTTCTCTCTCTCTCTCTCTCATTCATTTTTTCCCTCTTTCACTCACTCTTTTTTATGCATAAAATAATTTTTAAGTTTTTTTCGAATTTTTTCTTTAATTTTTAAAATTTATTTTATTTATTTCAAATATAAATTTATATATCATTAGTTGTTTCATCGTCGAAATCGTTATTTATTAATTAATCCTATTAATTATGTCGTATTTTTGATTTCAATAATGATTTTTTTGCGAATTAATGCTACATATGTATAGCATAGTTCGTATTAATGTAGAATATTTGATATCATAAAATTATCACTCCGATTAATTTGTGTAGCGATTCCGGATGAATAATATTTGAGCGGATATCTGTGCCAAAAGAATGATATCATAAAGTTATCACTTCGATTAATTTGTTCAGCAATTCCGGATGAATAATATTTGAGCAGATATTTGTGCCAAAAGAATATCATGAAATTATCACCCCGATTAATTTATGCAGCAATTCCGGATGAATAATATTTGAGCAGATATTTGTGCCAAAAGAATATCATGAAATTATCACCCCGATTAATTTATGCAGCAATTCCGGATGAATAATATTTGAGCAGATATCTATGCCAAAAAAAAATGATATCATAAAATTATCACTTTAATTAATTTGTTCAGCAATTCCGGCTGAATAGTATTTGAGCAGATATTTGTGCCAAAGAGTGATATCATAAAATTGCCGCTCCAATTAATTTTTTCAGCAATTCCGGATGAATAATACTTGAGCAAATATCTATGCCAAAAAAAATGATATCATAAAATTATCACTTCGAATAATTTATGCAGCAATTCCGGATGAATAATATTTGAGCAGATATCTGTACCAAAAGATGATATCACAAATTAATTCCAATTAATTTGCTCAATAATTCCGAATGGATAATAACTGTGCCACAAAAAATATCATTCGACATCGATGTTCAAATATCAAAATTTATAATTTCTTTGTTTTCGTATTTTTATTTAATATTCAAAGAGGTTATAATTAATATAATTAATATATCGAATTCCATATCAAAATTCATAAATGGATCGCTTTTCTCACTTTAAAAGTTAGTCATAGCTTCGTTCAGTAACGAATATATAAATATTAACTTGGATAATTCACAGAAATAAAATCAATTAATAAATAAAATATCATTTCAAAATCTTTATTGGAAAGTTTCCTTCAATTAAGCTATTATTATATTTTTCGTAATAATAATATTTTAATTAATATTCATTAAATGATAATAATGATATTAATAATAATTAATAATAATAATATTAAATAATAGTAATAAAAATTGTGACCGCAATAATAATAATGACAGTAATAGCAGCAATAATATTATTATTGTAACAATGTAGAGGTCAAATTTAATTTGACAATCTTGATGACAACTGCTGCAATCGGATAATTTGCGTACTCTTGGCTTGTCTGATAAAATTTGCCACTTTTGATTATTCATTATACTTTTATTCTAATTTTCATGATGTCATGAATTTCCTCTTAAATTCAATTCACTAATTGAAGTATGACAAAAATTTTTCGTAATTGAATAACAGAATGTTATTGAATCTTAAAAGTTCCTTAATTAATAAATCTGAACACAAACAATCAAAACTAATCATACTCTTAATATACGTACACGTAAATACATATCACGTATGAGTATATTCACATGAGTATACATCACACTATACATGATTATACGTTACTATACGTCAATGCAGTTATATCTTTCACATAATACTATTATAGTTTATTTCATACTGAAGAAGATTTTCTTACATTCTTTAATTAATCGATACATCTCAATTTTCTTTGTTCAATGATTTATTTTACTCTGTGAATAATAATTTACAATAATAAAATAGCAATTTGATTAAATTAAATTAAAACAAATAATTTCTGAAAAGTTTAAAACAAAAGCAATTAATTTCTTTTTATTCCACTAATTATATTTTCTTTTCTAATTTTAACATTTGAAGCATAATTATATTAAAAGAAATTTATGCATAATTACATATATAAATAAATTCATTTCAAGTTTTGACATTTGATGCATAATTATATTAAAATAAATTTCAAACTTTCTAATTTAATGATAAACATTTGATAAATTAATTTTTGCATAATTATATTAGAATAAATTTTAAACTTATTAATTTAATTATAAAATAAAAGAAGTTATGAGTGAATTTGCCTAAAAAATTCATTGAAACAGCGCCATCTGTAATTGTTGGTTGATAAAGAAAAGCAATTTTAGGATTATCTCATTTAAAATTTTCTCTTCTAATTTTACACTTTATCAAATTATTGATTTATTCATCGTTGATGATTTAAAAATTTCAAATTCAATCTCATTTTTGAATTCCTAATTTATGACAGCTTTTAAAAGCTAAATAATTTACCGATTTAAAAGCTAAATAATTTATCAAGCAAAATTATAAAAATTATATCGAAATTTTCGGCATAATTTTGCTTTTGTTTTATTTCTAAAATAATATACATTACGGTGATTTCAATTTTTTTCCTATTTTCTTAATTATTTACTCTCTCTGAATATCATTTATCTCTTTAGAAAAATATAATGATTAATACTGATATTCTTTGATACCTAATGATTAATCATTTACGATAATTAATTATTTCCCTGAAGTAGTTTAAAACAAATTTAGCTATATGCTTTAAATTCTTAATATGCTGTTGTAAACTAAGAAAAGAGTACTTATGCAAAAAGTATTATCTGATTAAAAGTACTAACTAATGCTTAACCAGTAGTACACTTATATAGTATGTTTATATGGTATATGTATGTATTTATATATATATATATATATATATGTATTCATTAACTTATATTTATTTTTAACTAAACTATAAACTATAATCAGATATAGTAAATATAATTGATGTTTTCCATAAGGTCAATCCTTTCTATCAATTACAATACGATTCCCTAAATCTTCTCCAACAAAAGTTTGACGACAGAAATAAGCAAAAAGGATTATTTGATGTTTTGCGTAAAATTCGGCGTTAATTTGAGTAATATAGAATTTTTGTAAATCTTTGTTAAAACTACACAATGATGAATGAATGATAAATTTCATTTCATGTTTTCGATTTACAATAAATTCAAATATAATTAATATTTATAATTAATAAGTTTGACGAAAGAATCGTTGGCATTATTTTTGTTGTAATTTTAGCACCAATTAATGCAGCAAAAATTTGAATAAATTAATTGTTAACTTTTTCAAAAGACAAAGAAATTAAAAACAGAAATTAAAATACAATCAAAATAGAATAGTTTTAAAAGCATCGATCAAAAATTTGCTAATTAAAGTGTTACGAAAGTAATGTTGATAACAGATTGATAACAGAGAGAGTTGATTATTTTATTTTATTATGCTTAAGCAAGAAATTTTTAAAAATCAAAACTAATTATTTTTTCCAAAAATTTATATCACAATTAGATCATTTGTTTATATTACAATTTATATCAATTTATATCACAATTTTATATCACAAAAAAATTGATATCACAATTTTATATCACAAAAAATTTATATCACTATTTTACATCACATTTTCCAAAATTTATATCACAATCATACATTCATAATATATCAACAATTAGGTGTTATCATTTTGGAACAAAATGAAATGAATGATAATTTCTTTATAACATTTCATTTAAACAAATTTTAAATTTCTAATTTAGATTAGAGCTTATGTTCTAAATTATTAGGAACGAAAAAGCGATAAAATACAATGAATAACAAGTGTATCAGTTTGGTGATATATTTAATTATCATCATTATCATCCTTTTTCACCTTTTTCAATTTAATCTTTTTTGTTTCAATTTTCATTATCAATAAAGTTCTAATTAAACTTATTATTTAGCTATCATCTATTGTTTTATTTTTTAATTTTATCGTTTTTTTTGTTTCAATTTTTATTATCAAAAAAAGCTCTAATTAAATTTATTATCTAATTATCATCTATTGTTTTCTTTCTTTTAAATTTTACTTTATCTTTTTCTTTTTCGTTTCAATTTTTCATTTTCAAAATAAAAATTCTATTTAAACTTATTACATATTTTATTTACATTTTCAAAAATTCATTTTTAACTTATTACTTTTATTATTATCAAAAACTTATTACAATTTTAAGTTGGTCCCTAATTAAATGAATTATTGCTAGTTCATTTGCATTTTCAAAAAATCATTTCTAATTTATTACATTGATATTTTAAATTGGTCCCCCAACTAAATGAATTATTGTAAAAGTAAATTTCAAAAATTGTAATTTTTAGGTCAAAAAATTTTTGTTTGGAAAAAAAAGAGAACTTTTTAGGAAACTTTAATTTTTACAATTAAGAAATTACATTTATGATTTCTTTCCTATTGTTTTTTTTTCCTTTCAATATTTAATTTAAAATTTAACATTACAAATTAAAAATTGAAAACCTGATTTTACGCTTTGATATATTTTTTAAATTTTTTTTTTTATTAATTACAATCAACACTATTCGTTATTAAACTTTTGCAGCGTAATATAAATAATTAGTTGGAAAATTGTCGAAAATACATAATTTGTAGAAGAATGAATTTATTTATTTTTAAAATTTTAAATTTTTGAATGAAATGAAAAATAAGTGAAAAAAAAAATGAAAAATAAATTTCGTATAAAATTTTTCATAAAAACAAAAGATATTTTAATTTCATTTTTGATTTTAAATTTTTTGCTATCATTTTACTCGTGCAATCTGCTGCTGATAAAGATATGATAATAAATGAGAATGATAAATGATAAAGATATGATAATAAATAAGAATTTAATTTCAGAATTTAAGATATCCGTTTTTTTTTTTTGATTGTTTAGA